ATAGGGTACATACCCTAGCCATTTAGCCATAAGCTTATCATCCTCCCCTTGATCGACCCCCAAGACATGTCCACCTAGCCGAACACCACCTGGAACTGCAGCTTTCATGTGACGAACAAATGCAATTATCCCGGTGAATATCAAGCCAGGGAGTACGCCTTTCAGGCGTAGAGGTTGCCATTAGTTGAGCTCAAGACGTGTGGGGGAATGAGACTTAGTCTTACCTTCCTGGAGATCCGGTTGCCTAAGCGCATTTTCAACTTCGCCTAATGTCGGATCCTGAAGGTGGTCTGTCACATCTCGGGATGTCGATACTGCAATGGCTAGAAGAATATGTATCGAACCTAAGAACAGGTTAATTTCAGAAGCAATATCTGAACGACTACCTACTGGCATGTATCAATCTCAATAAGATATGCCCATAACTGCGCCAACTTCTGAACTGGTTCTCAGTGCATTTAGATCGCGCGTCTGAACCCTCCAAGAGTCGATGTGCATCCGCAACGGTAAAGTTCGGCCTAGTTTCCGTAACCCTACACATAGTCAGGACCGCAGGTAGGACAACTCGAATTTACTCACCGCAGGAACCATAAGGCCAGCTCAGCATGTACCAACATGACCCGGTAGCTAGCAATGTCCGCAGCATGAGTACTTGATGCACAAGCCTCTACCAAGTTCACGCAGGCCGTCCGAAGGCCAGCCTCAGGATTTTGGCTCGCAAGGTCGGAAGGTACCACAGGAACCGGTTCGGACTGGATGATCTCCACCGCCCTGGTGAACTTCGATGGGTCTACCATAATCTGAAGGAGGTAACTCTTTCCGGTAAGCCTTGGGCGCCGGGCTCGATTCAATTCCGTGTTCAAGGCAGCAGATCGGTCGCCCCGCTTGTAAGGTTCTAGGCATAGGTTAGCTACGGGGCTTAGTTCAGCAGCCATATCTTACGAGGATCCAGAGTGGCTTCAGGTTGTACGCTAACTACGGCTGGAGTGTCCGTGGGTGGGAGTGAAGGCACATCTAGGGACATGGCCGAGTCCCCCGCTATGGCCTGAACTTCGGGTACCATGGGATCTTCTGGTAGGGCTTGAGGTTGAGGCACGATGCTAGAGGTGACCATACCGCTAGCAAGGGAGAGATCTAGCCAGGTATTAGATAAGCCCGACCGGAGTTGGTCAACTTACCGTCTGACTCCTTGGACCGTCGTTCTACCAAATTTCAATAACCCAGCTAAGTAAACAGTGTTTCGACTCACTCCTTTTGGTTTTCTTGGCCTGCGGGCCGGGATCTTCTCGAGATGTAGCCACAGGGGGCATATATCGTGTGGTCGAGATAACATTCTGTATACGCTGTAGCATGTCGTTGTATTGTTGATTTGCAGACCGCTCCAGGGCCAGTAGGGACAAGGGGGTGGTTCGGCCGGCCTGGATGGCACCCCATAACGCGGCCCGTAGCACCCCAAGATTACTTTTGTCGCTAGGCATCTCGTTGGGCTCTAAAAGCATCCGGCACTGGGCATAGAGAAAGGGCCTGGAGCTGAACCGGATGTTAGCATGACTCTAGAACTCTTACGAGACGTACTTGTACAGCGTAGTATCGCGATCGTGGGGTGAGGTCCCAGGGTCCACTAAAGGACCCAGTTCTTCTACCGGCATTCGCTTTACCTGGTTGAAGTGCAATCCGGCACCCGAGCATGTCAGTCCATCGCCTAAGGTAAAAGCAGGGACGGTCAAAGTATGATTATCCGTATAGTTCACGGCGGTGCGAGGCATGGTGGTTGGACGAAACGCGCAAGCGAGGTCCAGACCAACGTGGAGCGTAGCTTACTAATCCCAGCGCCAAAAACTTTGCGGCGCAAAGTGGCATCTTTCACCTATTCGTAGGCCGCAAGGTCTTAACGCCGACGACTGGCGCCCATGAACAAGAGGGGCCATAATGAACAGGAGTAAAGAATCTCAAATGTCTCACCTGCAACCTCTACCCCCGTATCCACATCTTCTTTCCGGTCGTGTAATCCAGGTCCACGAGATCCGTAGACCGAGTGGGCAGTCCGCTGGGCACAATCGACTTGATCGTCCCAAACCTGCGCGAGAGATGTCCAGCCGGAGCCGATTTAGTCCTGCCCCTGCCTCGGCTTCAGCAGCCATCGCACAGGCAAGTCCCCTCGTCACCTCGCGAGAGCCTCATTCGATGGACGAACGTAAACGACGGGGAGGAGGTGCTTCGGCAGCGTTGACAGAGTTTAGCGAGGGAAGAGGTGCGATGCCACCGTTTTCAAGGCTGGCGGATCGACGAACACCGGCGCCGCTCTTTCGACGAGACAGCTTGACAGATAAAACGACTGGCGCCATTTGCTTTTCGCCGTGACCAGCCGCTCCCCAGGCTCTGCGAGCTCACGAGGAACCGCGAGCGGAGAGTCATCCGAAGTTGAGGTCGTGCTGGACCTGGTGGAAAGACCCGGTGTAGGAACGTCGTGTCGTCCCCTCGTGCTCCGAACCCACTCTCAGTCGAGCTTGACGCGAAGACTCAAGTCAGGCCGGCTGCGGAGGTACAATAAGTATAAGTCGGCATGTGGTCTAGCTAGCGGTGCACGTACCTGGGCGTCATCGGTGCCTATTATTCACGTCAGTTGTCGACTCGAAAAAAGCGGACTAGCTGGGAGGTGGGGAGCCAGATGCCAACCTGACGCACAAGCACGACAGAGTGATAACCTAAGTCCCCATAAACTGTACCTATCGGTTGCGTTCGCGGTCCGCTTGGTAAGAGGGCTGGGGGAGGGTGCAAAGCAACGGTGACGCAGTCTTTCGATGAACAGCCAAAATTGACTCCACGGTGGCGGAAAACATTGTGAAGTTGATCAAGCGCTGAGGCAGAATAGGGAGCGCTGAGCAGCAACCTTCCGAGCATCAGACCGGGAAGCAAAGAGTGGTTGAGCCACGTTGGCGAGGTTGGCATCCAGACCGGAATGTGGATCCTTTCGACCACGGCGCTGTCGCCGCCCCTTCTCCCCCAGTTCACCATGGGCTGCGGCTGTTAGCCCATTGCTTACTGGGCTGCCGTTGCGCAAGGTGAGCTGCCTCGACATTGACCACCAGAAATGGAAGTCAAGGGCATGTAGCGCAGTTGGTAGCGCGCTCGCTTCGCAACGGTTGTTACCTTAGCGGTGGATGACCTGGCTGCGAGAGGTCTTCAGTTCGATCCTGGACTTGTCGATATAGTTTTAAACCTTATTTCTTTCCCTTTTGACGTAGTCACTAGGAGTCTGCGAGAGGTGACTCACGTGAATGCCCTCTGCATGCGGCAGCTCGCTGCGTCTTGCGCAAGGCAACTTGCACCCTACAGTATTCGGACCTCTTCGGGTCGTCCACCGGTCTCACGGCCGTGTTGTCATTCTTGGAGAAGTCGAGAGCCTTTAAACCCCACAAGTGAGTCCACCATAGCTCAGAACGGGGATTCGCACCGTGGCGTTCGCGTCAATCCGCCCCACGCCTTTGTTCTCACTGTTGCTTGACTGGTAGCATTTAGGTAGTTAGACCAGCGTAGAGTAGCCTTACATAGCGGGCCGTCAGCGGTAACCATTCCGCCGCCCGGGTTTCTATATTCTCCCGTCTCCGTCTTACGATTCGTACCTCCTAGTTATACGTGTTCCCCTTCGTACTGTGTTTCGGCTTTCTCCGGCGCCCGCGGCCCCAGCGTTTCGACCTATGTTCGTGTAGCTGGATAAATATGTAGTCCAAAAAAAAAAAAAAAAAAAAGGTGACTCACGTGACGTTCGTCCTCTCGATTGCACGCGCCGTGCAACGCGTTGGTGAGTAAGGTCAGCCTCGCGACGAGGGCTTTACTCACCCTCGGGTTCATCCGCCCCGTTGGCGTCGCAGTTATAACCCCGACGATCACATGTCCTGGCTCGCGCCGAGCGGACTTTCCGGCACTCGAGCAGCCGGCGCGGCTCATTGGTGGGTGCACTCGTTTGAGTGCGGATGCCTACCTCTGACTGGATCCCGCCCGGCTCGCCTTCACCAAACTCCATTCAATTCCGGACTTTGGCTTTTGCGAATGAGGCGTGATAACAGACCGTTAGGCACCAATTGACTCTGCAAGACAAGCTCGATGTCATCGAGTATTGTGAATAGAATCGAGGTCAATTG